AACTGTGTATGTAGGTTTGCATGCTTCAGGAGTCCCCTTTGGGAATCCCCTTGTTTGCAGTGCCCCATAAAGAGGAAAATGTAAATAAGAGAATCATTTAACCTGCCAGTGCTCTGCTACATTAAGCTCTTTTTAATCTGTTAATAATCATAGTCAGAACAAAGAGGAGACGACAGAACTCATTAAGAATAACGAGAGTGGTGACAGGGAATACGGTGATGGTACGAATTACAGCCCGAGCAAAATCCTCTTCCCTGCGTGTGCCAGTGAAAGATACTAATTATGCCTCTGGCAAGAGACATGTGGACCCCTTCAAAGCAGCTATTTAAAGATAAATACACTGTGAGCAAATACTTCCGGCCTGGCTGCACTAGTCCTCCCACCCTCCTCTTCTTTAGAAATTTTAGGTCACAATATTAATGAAAGAGCCTTGCAGACTTAGCTGGTAGTGTCGTAAAACAAATTTATTTTAAATTTCTAAAGCTTTAACCTTAGAACGACTAGCTGGGTGTTTACATATCTATACTAATCCCGGTATTAATGGTATAGGGTATTCTTTCCCCACCTCAAAGATTTCTCACTATCATTAACAGATGACAAACAAGGTTTAAAGAAAGACCCACCGTCTTTCCCTTGGCCTCATGATTTATTCTCTTCCAAATTCCAGAGAAGTGCTGAGAATATTAAACGTAATAATTGAGAACCTGGGTGGGGGTCGGGGGGGACCTGGAATCCTCAGCAACAAACATCACTTCCAGGTGTTTGGTTTGGTTCCTACATTATTTCTCCAGCCAGACTTTCTTCCCTATAAATAATAAGTACATTAAAGACTGCCTTCTTTACCCCTCACACTGGCTGCTGTCACCCAAGGGTGATGGGCTGACTGAGCTTTTTATGGTGAATACCAGGCTTGGGGATGTGACAAGCTATGTTTGGTTTGGAATCAGCACCAAAAGAAGAACAGATTAGAATGCAGGTAGAAGAAGGTTAATCGGATTCCCAACTGTCAAGCTTGCCTGAAAGGACTTCAATGAGGTGAAGATTTAACTAAGGATATGCGTCATCAGCAGTGGATAACAAAAAGGTGGAAATATCTCTAAATGTGCATCAGAAATTAGATAAATTATGAGACATTCACAAAACGGAACACAAGTTATTCAAATGAAATGACAAGCATTTTTTTTTGACAGTGTTAAGCAGGAAAACCAGACTGTAAAAATAAAAGTATAACAGAATACCATTTCAGAGAAAATATTACATATGCACATAGAATGCTCAGTAAGGTATTCACACACAAGTTAATTAATAGTGGTCGTCTCTGGGAGATGGTGGAGATGCTATTTTGAATGTCTTCTTTACCTTTCTTCTGCTGATACTCCCAAGATAAATAGGAACTACTTTTATGATTTTTTTAAAAACCTTAACATCCTGTTTTTCTCAAAATGGAAACAAAATTATTAAACTACCACAACAACAGGGATCATCTATGTAACCTCTGTACACACTGAAATACAGGTTTTAATTAGCTCCAGAAAATACTATTAAAAGATGCTAAGGCCACCAAATCCATCGGACTTTCAGAGTCATGAAGCTATAATAAGCATCATCTGTCATTTTGGGCTTGTAGAGTCAGATCAAGTAAACACACTCATCAGCTCGGAAAAAAACAAATGGCATTTTAAAGCTAAGATGACTCATTTTTAATACCTAACAAAAGTATAGAAGAAATAGCAAAAGAGTACAATATCACACACCAACAGAAAAACAATTAACAAGGCCTATTTTTATTACCTAGCCCATAAATGAGGAAATTCATTTCCAAGGTACAGAGCATTTTTTAAAAATCATTTTAAACATCTTCTAGCCTTCAACTGTTCAAACCTTTTTTCTATTTGACATCTAACAGAAGTAAATTTTATCTATGAAAAGATGATTCTCTTCAGTCTGCAATCTTGAAACTTCAAAGCCAGGTACTTGGCAATGTTTTCTCTAGATGGCATTTATTTGAACAATAAGCATGCCTCTGTAACTAAGATCCTCTCCAAAGAACCTCGGAAAATACAATGTTTTAAGACAGTGCATGCACAAGTACACATAGCACAAACACACATATTCCTCCCTACACAGAATGACTGAGACATTCCCTGATGGGTTTCTCTTCTTCTCTACATTTGGGAACTAATTACTATAGTCACAATTGCTCCATAGTAAAGAATTACATAATGAAATTCCATAGTCAACAGAGTAATCATCACACATCCTAATGAAATGGGATTGCTGGATTGGTGGAGGCAGAAACTATTATTTCATGATTTATTAAGCAAAATGCCAAGAGCAATTCTAGACATCAAAATTTCTTTCCCTTAGGCCAGGCACAGTGGCTCATTCCTGTAATCCCAACACTTTGGGGAGGCTGAAGTGAGCTGATCACCTGAGGTCAGGAATTTGAGACCAGCTGAGCCAACATGGAGAAACCCTGTTGCTACCAAAAATACAAAATTAGCCAGGCGTGGTGGTGCATGCCTGAAATCCCAGCTATTCAGGAAGCTGAGACAGGAGAATCGCTGAAACCCAGGAGGTGGATGTTACAGTGAGCCAAGATCACACCATTGCACTCCAGCCTAGCAACAACAGCAAAATTCCATCTCAAAAAAAAAAAACAAACAAAAAACCTAGCTCCAATTACATTTACGAGCCATTTAGTAAAGGATACCAAATTATACTTAGCTAGGAGAAGTAAGTTCTAGTGTTCTACACCACTGCAGGATACCCATAGATAGCAATAGTATATATTTCCAAAATTCTATAAAGAGGATGTTGAATGCTCCCCAACACCAAGAAATGGTAATAAATGTCTGAGGTGAGGGATATGCTGATTACCCTGATCTGATCACGTACATGTATCACAAAATCATGTGACCCATAAATATATACAATTATGTCATTTTTAAAAATTTATTTATTTTTTTGGGACAGAATTTCACTATTAATGCCCACCTCCCAGGTACAAGTGATTCTCCTCCTCAACTTCCCTAGTAACTGGGATTACAGGCATGCACTCCCAAGCCCAGCTAGTTTTCTATCTTTTTAGTAGAAACGGGGTCTTTCTCCACTTTGGCAGACTGGTCTCGAACTCCCGACCTCAGGTGATACACGCCACCATGGTCTCCCAACGTGCTCCAGGAAGACCCCTAGATACACACAAACTCAGTCTACTAAGAGCATCTGGGAGAAATGACATTCTCGTAGTTCCCAGCATCCTTAGCGCTCAGATCTTGGCTTCTCAACAGCACTTGTCCCTACAAGAAAACAGGGCTCCTTGGAGACATGGCCAATTCCAGGTCTGAGGCCAGGAAAGTACACCATGAGCCTGGAACATTTTGTTATGCCAGGCGCAAGGCTGGGAGGATAACAGGGACACGTCAAAAGGAATAAAAAGCCAGCCTGATGAGGGGTCCACAGATGAGACTGGGATCTGGGATAATCTGAACATCAGAATACGTAACGCAAGTAGCAGATCATAACGCTTCGAATAAAATAGGAAGCCCATATACATGTAATTATGATAACGAAGATGAGAAGTATGTACCGGTTTCAAAGAATATCCTCTCAAAACACTTATACATTGCAAAGGACGAGATGGGTAACTTTACTCCTGATGGGGCCACCACAGTGGAATAATTAGCATGAACACAGTGTGGAAAACATGAACTGAACTGTGTATCCCCATGGAGGACCCACCAACAAGGAGGAGGAATCACTTCCCTTGTGGCATTCCTGCCAAAAACACAAACCAGAACATAATCATGAGGAAACACCAGGCAACCAAATTAAGAGATATTCTAAAAAATAATTGACCTGTAATTTCCAAGTATTGAGGTCAAAGACAAACAATGAGGAACTCTTCCAGATTAAGCAGGCTACAGACAATGGCAATGCCCAATTCTGAACTGGGTCCTTTTGCGCTAAAGTCAGACGCTACAAAGCACCTTCAGAACAAATGTGAAAAACAAGTTTGAGGACTGCATTCGTGCCATGTATCACTGGGAACTTCCTAACTTTGACAGTAAGAGGAAAATGTACTTATTTAAAGGAAATACACACTAATGTACTGAGTGAGGGATGATGGGTGGAAACTTTTGGAGGTACTTAAAATCTGTCTGTAGTAACAAATTATCAAAATATTAATCAAATAAAAGTGACCCTGAACCTTGAGGTTTTCCCACAAATGTCCAATAGCAAAGGCCCTCTCCTTCTGTTCATTTTCTCTCAAATAACCTCACCCAAGAAACTCTGTGTTCAGGACTTCCTAAATTTTCTATCATTCCTCCAGAAAAGGCTCCGTAAATTCTCTCAGTCTTCTGTGTTCTTTCCTCACAGATATTAGAAAACTTATTAATAAGGAATCTGTAAAAACACTTTCACGAATAACTCCACTCAGATCCCAAATCCACTTGGCCTTTGTTAGCTGGTCCGAGTTGAAACATGAACCAGTAATTTGCACTGTCAATTGGACTGAAAGTATTAGTACTGTTTTCCTCAATATAATACAGGGCTGAGAGATCCATGAGCCCCTCCTCACTACGGCTTATGGACAGGCCTTAGGAAGTACAAAAAAAGAGGACTTCATATCCCCAAAGTCCTCCATCACAAACAAAAATTGCCTTACAAAACAAGCCAGCAATGTGTGTGTCATGGTGGCGGTGTAGTGGAGAGAGGTCAAATTATAGAAGTTAGACACTGCGTAACTGTGAATTGAGAAGCCAGGAAGTGGGGTGGAAGACTCATATTAAAAGGAAATAAAACTTCACAGATGGTTTGAAAGCCACACCCAGCACGCACTCTCTCAGTAGGGCTTCTCACTTTCAATTCCCCCTCAACCCAGAGTAGGGACCAAAAAATGAAACAGGCAGAGAGTAAAGCTAACGTCTACTCCACATACACCTCAGGCTTACACGTAGACTCCACGTAGACCTCGGCTGATCCTTGCAAAGTCTTACCTCGAAGGCAGAGAAAGGTAAGAAAATCTTCTGTCTTAGGCTTCCTTTTAGAGAGGTCTGATATCTGAGTAGCTGGAGGGGGTAGCAATGGCTCCACTATCTTTACAGGAGTTGTGCTGGGACTATTCGGCTGAGATTGAGCAAACTTCCTTTGTGCTTGCAGCCTGGGCCTGTAAAAGCAGAAGAAAATTAAAAATAAATTAAGCAGAGACTGGAGGATATAGGCCTATGTGTGACAATAAAATCATGACACATAAGGGGAAAAAATATCCTATTTCAAGCAAACTCTTTCTAATTAAGGTTCTATATCACTCATAAACCACAGGCCTACTTTAAAGTGCAATAAATTTGGTTAAAGGACTGTGTTTTATACACGTATATAAAATGTGTGCCATCAATGTGCATATACCAGTGTGTAGCGGTACATCCCTATGTACACATTATATGTTTGACATCAGCTTAATGAAATTCATTTACTTCCACAGACAGTAAAGAACACACTGAATTATCCTGATGCATTTATATACTTTCCTATGCTTTCATCTAATAGTGTCACGAATCCATACCCAACTTCCTTCTGTGTCATCACATCCAGTTCACCTTTGCCTGTTAATCCATCAGTGTCCTTGTCGCCACTTCTAAATTAAGCCACAAATGTTCATTACAACAATTCAAGCTTATACGACAGAAAAAGATATGTCATGTCTCTCTAGTCTACAGCCCCTCCAGTCCCACATTATGGGTTACAATCTGCCAACAAGGTCAAACTGCAACTATATAGTACACTTTGTCTACTCCTCAGACCTCTTTTCCATTACAATCCTATGCTAACTCCCTAACTTACCCATTTGGATCTACAGAGTGCATTTCAATTCCTTTCACATGAAAATCTTAGATACATAAATTCCTTTCTATCCAAGTGAGCCCTAATGGATCTTGGAACAGTAGTTTTGGCCGCGACAGGTTTTGAGATTGAGTCTTGTTCTGTTGCCACCTCAGCTCACTGTAACCTCCAACTCCCAGGTTCAAGTCTCCTGCCTCAGCCTCCCAAGTAGCTGGGATTACAGGCGTGCAGCAGCAAGCCCAACTAATTTTTGTGTTTTTAGTAGAGATGGGGTTTCACCATGTTGGCCAAGCTGGTCTTTAACTTCTAACCTCAGGTTCCGCCCACCTTGACCTTCCAAAGTGCTGGGATTACAGGCGCGAACCACCGCGCCCAGCCGGTTTGTTATTTTTTAACACTGTGGCCAATAAAATTTCCCTTTCTCTCCATCAATAAATATACTAACATATTTTTACTTTACATGTAGCCAATTTGACATTTATCGTCCATTGCCTAATAGTCACTCCTCTCTAATCGTCACGGTATCTGCTCATGGAATAGTAAGCACTTGCAAGGATGAGAACCTGGGTACTACTTTAAACTGTTCATCTAGACCTGCTCATAGAGATACCTGAGAAACATTATTTGAGGGCAGGACCAAACAAGAAGAACCAAGAAACATCCCCAGAGTACAGGGATTGAAACAGACCTGATCAGAATCCTAAACACTATGTAGGATGGATAATTCAACCCCACTCAAAATAATTAACTAATAAAACTAAGTAAGTGCCAGGCGCAGTGGCTCACGCCCATAATCCCATCACTGGGAGGTCGAGGCCTGGGGATCATCTGAGGTCAGGAGTTTGACACCAGCCTAGTCAGCATGGTAAAACCTTATATCTAGTAAAAATACAAAAATTAGCTGGGCCCACGCCCAGGTGCCTGTAATCCCAGCTACTGGGGAGGCTGAGGCAGGAGAATTGCTGGAAGCCGGGAGGTGGAAATTGCAGTAAGCTGAGATCACGCAACACTCTCAGGGAGGGGGGACCTAAATAAGTAAAACAGCAGATGTATTCCCCTGAAGACATTGTTAGGAGTGGGTTATATAAAATAGTGAGCATGTATTTTAAACTGCTGATGCTCAAAATGCCATAACATTTAGAAATAACATCATAGTAGTTAAATTCCTACAGCAAAACACACACACGGTTGTCTAAAAATTAATACTTTTCAGTTTAACCCCATAAATCCTCCACACTCCTCAAAAATAAAGTACCACAACGTTATGAGGACTTAATCTCATTTTAACATTAACTTCCCTTGTATATCCTGAGCACCGTCTACTCTTGCCTCCCCTATGACTCACCGAAAGCACTGGTGTCTAATCATATTTCTGATACAAACTGATAAATACATCAAAAGGGACAAAGTGTGGCTCCAAAGACTTACTAAGTAATCTATACTAAAATGAAATAAGTCTATACTAAAAATGAAAAAAAAATTAAAAAATAAGTAAATAAAATCTACACATTATATAGGTCATCAAAGAGCACTTTTTTTTTTTTTATCTTTAACCATTTTATTGAAACAGGGTCTCCCTCTTTCGCCTAAGCTGCACTGCAGTGACGCCATCATAGCTCAGCTCACTACGGCCTCAAACTCCTGGTCTCAAGAGATCTTTCCACCTTGCAAAGTGCTGGGACTACAGATACGTGCCACTGTACCCAGCTGCTTTTTGCTTGTTGTTGCTGTTGATGGGTTTTTGGTTTTGTTTTTTAATAGAGACAGGGTTTTCTCCCCACGTTGCCCAGGCTGGTCTGGAACTCCTGGCCTCAAGCCTATATCCTGCCTTGGCCTCCCAAAGTGTTGGGATTACACACATGAGCCATGACACCTGGCCCGAAAAGCACTTCAGAACCCCAAATAACTGGCATGAAACAGTCACATTAACAAGGTAATAGGAGGGAGTGAATCAAAATTAACAGAAATTCCCTAGTGTTATTTAAAAAAAAAAAAAAAAAAAAAAAAAAAAAGGCGGGTAGAGGAAAAATCGGGCAATGCCGCTATTTCTATGTGATGGGGAATAAATAGCTCTTATTGCAAATAACTGCCTGCTTGTAAATAAGATGGGAAAGACCAGAAGCCCAGAGGCAGGACCTTCACATGGGACACTAAAAGAGGGGATGGGAGGAAGAGATGGAGGAGTTAGGGTGAGGGGGATATCCAGCCAATCACGAAGCTTCATCTATCACAGATAAGGAGCAGCTTTCTGCTTGGTTATTTTTCCCGCCTTTAAATTTTCTATGTGTTTATTTACATAAGAAAACAGAACAAGGGGGCAAAAGACAATTTAAAAAAGACAAAATACAAGCCCAAATTTATTACAGGACTCAAAATCATTCCCTCAAACTGCATAGGTTTCTCAAGGCTGGCTCTCAATTTCTCTATCAATTCACAGACACCTGGTGATGACCACATCTTGAGAGCGCAGTGTCAGAGGAGGGAAGGCTACCGAACCCTTCCTCTGCATTCCAACCAGCTGCCAGGAAGACTGACCCAATACCACTGCCCTTTTCCAACCACCACCCCGGCTGTTTTAAAACAAAGGAAATTTTGCGACATATTTAGAAAAACTGCTGTTTTTAATATTCTACTGAAAAGGTTTTTTAAATTGGCAATTACATAATATATACACCTTCATTTGAATGGACTCAATTCACACTCCTGAGTATTGCAGGAATTTTATAGAAATACTGCCTGCATCTGAACAGGATGTTAAGTGTTTATAGCTTTTTTAGAAGTCAGGGAAAACAAACGCCACACACAATAAGAAGATTTGCAGCAACAATGAGAAACAAACAAGTAAACACAGACGAAGCACAGGCAACGGAGCGAGACACTGACAGGTATTTTACAATTTCAGGACCTCAAAAATAAACTGCTCCTACCACTGCTCAAATAAAAAGTGCTTGGTGTCTGATGACTTTCCCAGTGAGGCTATGAAAAATAAGACAGTAACAGATTAAAAAGTGGCAGCAAAATAAATTATCCCTTAGAGGAAGAAGCCAAGCTCACAAGTGATTAAAGATTTGTGAGACCCAGATGAAACCATGAACTAAAGGAGGAGACAAACCGGTATCTTTTTGAAAGAGGCAAAAAGAACCTGTACTGTCTATAAAGGGTAGGTCTGCCCTGTGGATTTTCATCCTGCAGAGTCCCATGGGGATTATGAAGGTGTTGACCCTGTTTTCCTGGCCCCATACAACCCAGCAGCTTGAATGGCACAGTCAAATCCTGAGTACACACTCCAGTCAGTACAGGCAGCTTTGAGGAACAGGGCTGGATATAGAAAAATAGAAGAAAGTGATTTGGATGTGCTGAAAACTCACAATATTTGCACCTAGAGATGCTGATGGCAGAAGCAGCAGAACCCTGGTGTAAAGGAGTGGGGCACCTGGTAGGCACGAGGAGAAAGGTGAGGCTGCACTCAGCCTGCAGGGCCTCAGCCCTCCAGAGGAGGTGGCACACCTGCCCGGCACACCATTTACTTCCTTGCTCCTTGCCATCAGCTGACTGGCATTGTCAACAGAATACCATCTGCAGGCTAGGCATTGTGGCTCACGCCTGTTTAATCCCAGCACTTTGGGAGGCCGAGGCAAGCAGATCATGAAGTCAGGACATGAAGACCATGCTGCCCAACGTGGTAAAACCACATCTCTATTAAAACACAAAAAACTAGCCGGGCATGGGGATGTATGCCTATAATCCCAGCTATTCAGGAGGCTGAGGCAGGGGAATCGCTTGAACCCAGGATGCAGAGATTGCAGTGAGCCAAGATTGTGCCACTGCACTCCAGCCTGGTGACAGAGCAAGACACCGACTTAAAAAAAAAAAAAAAAAAAAAAGACCACCACCTCCCATTACATTATTAGAGTAGGATGATTGAGGGAAAACAAAAACGTGTGCCCTCCTAAGCCTCTCGGCCTTGTGTGTAGTCAGGATGGGCCGGGCTGCCCTGGGTAAAACACAGCCCCAGAAAAGGTGGGCATCCCGTATTCATACAATGGAAGTAACAGTGACAGTGTAACTCACTTCCATGTTTATTTTTTATTAATTCTTCAAGGAGATCCCTTACAGAAGATGCCTTCATTCTAGGAACTCCACATGTACCCTTTACGTCAATGAAACCAATTATATCAAACCCTCCAGCGAGCCAAGGTGAAAAGATCAAATCAAGTAAATGTAATTCAGCAGACGAAGAAGTATGTTGATATATTCAGAGGATAACATTTTATTTACAACATGGTAAAAACACAGGGCTGGCACAGTGAGGGTGAGGAAATAAGA